AACTCAGATGAATGCAGGGAACTGATTTCAGTTGGAGACCTCAGCAAGGAGCTCATGCTGCTGCAAGCACCAGGAATGGCCTCAGGGCTGCAGCCAGTGGACACGAGGCTGGGTACCGCTATGTGCTGCTGGGTTGCAGTCAGGTAGGAGCATTCTGCAGCAGGTCTTCCAAGCACCCAGCTGTAGGGCAGAAGGCTCAGGTTTTAACAGCCAGTGGAGGGAGGCTGATTTGCCCTCTGGAACTTACCTTTTCCAGTGGGACTCCTGCTAAGAGCCTGACGGTGAAGAGGTGAGGGAGGCTCAGACCACTTCAAATGTGCAAGTCACATCTAAACAGACTCAGGACTACGTCACCTGAGTGACTCCGAAAGCTCCTGTGCCTGCTGCTGGTCATATATCAGTTCAAACACTGCTGGAGGGAACTGAAGGCTGCTTGAGAGAATGGGCTTTCAGTGGTCATTCCTAAATCATTTATTATTTGCTTTCCAGCATCACTTCATGCAAAGTGCTTCAAAACATCAGGATTATTGACAACGCAAAAGAAAACCTTGTGCATGGTCGCACCAGGAAACAGACGCTATGGCTGAGGCGGTGTGGGGAGAGCTGAGTGCACGCAGAACTCCCACCCGTGATTTAGGGGGGGGAGGCAGGTTTGCTTCTTACGAGGCTGGGTCACACAGAACAGAGCTCCGTGGCTAGCAGGGGACTGAGGCTAATGTTTTACTGACCGAGGACTTGTTTGAGGCTTTCTCTGTTTTAGACACTAGAACGCCGAGCCTGCGTAGCTCCCTAGTCACCTTATCCAAAGCAGTCTTCCCTTCCAAAGGGGCACAGAGACCTCTTCCTAATGCTGCCAGGAAGCGCGGGAGGGTCAGCGAGCACAAGTGCAAGCAGCAGGGCTGTATGCAAATGTTTCAAACCCTCAAAGACACCAAATAGCAGAGCTCCTGGAGAACTGGATGCAGCAGTAAGCTTGCCGGGACCTGGCTCTGCAAAAGTGAAGCTCTCAGTTCCCCGTCTATTGATGATGGTGGGCTAAAGCACTTAGACACCAAGCACTTGTGCTGCCTCTGGCTAATTTTCTCTTTAACTAGCTTACTGTTAGAGCAATCCTTGCATTAGTTAATCCAGAGGCCATCTGCTGAGGATAATGCATTTATTACCAAGAATCTACCTATCTCTATTGTACTAAGCACGCACATGGTGAATCTCAATCATTTTAACTTAGACACTCTATTATACATACCATGAAATTTAACAAGGTATGTCCTATATGGGGCTGTAACATTGCAGCTGTGTGGACTAATTAGATAACACTCATTATTGTTCATTCAATTTGCGTTTGCAGATGCAGGGAGCTGAGTGCTGACTGCTCTCGAGTCTGATTGATTGCTCCCACTTTGCATTCATTAGGAAGGTGGCCTCAGCACAGTAGTTTTACAACATGTGTTTGCTACCACTTAACTGGATGTGCCAGTCAAAAGCCTTGAACTGTGTCTCTTGATTAACAATATTTTGCAAATATGGTGCGGTCTATTTTAGCAGCTTGACAGGCGGACAGCAGAGGCAGCGTGCCTGGTGCGTGCTACTCCCTGCAAAGCCTTCCCCTTCCCGCACGCCAAGTGGGAAGAAATACAGCTGTGACAGTAAGGGCTCCTGACAGCTAGCCAATACATCAGGTTCATAGGTGGCAGTGTCCATTGCTCATCTCCTCCAGTAGGACGTGAATTAAAGAAATAAATGGGCTTGTCAGAAGGTTTGACTTTGTCAGACAAATACCAAACCCATAAAACTAGGACAAACATGGCTCACATTGACCGCTGCACTTTTTCCCTGATGTCTCTTTGCAGCCATAGGCTGGGCTTTTTGCTCTGCTTCTTCTCAGCTCCTCCTGGCCACTGCCAGGCGGCTGCTTGGGTGGACCAGCTCTCGCATGGCTCTGGCCAGCCCCACAGCACCCAGTGCTCTTTATGGAATCCTAAGTGTTCCATAGGGCCAAGGTTCAGATTATGGCTATCTGTAAATTGGTCAAGATTAGACTACATTTTGTCCAAGCCCATGATAAAGAAACAGCGCAAAAAGCAAATGACATTTGCTAAAAGTAAGTATCATCAGACCACCCCCATGTCCAGGTGAAGCAGCAGACCAAGCAGCCAGACTGGAGCAACCCTGAGTGCCCACCCAGCCAGAACAGCCCTGTGCCAGCGGGACGGCAGCGCTGCCAGAGGCTGCACCAACCCGCACGGCACCATCGGTGGTGATACTGTGTGCACCCTCCCCTGCCCTTCTGGGAGGCCACGGAGGAGATGCTCCAAATGCAGGCCATTGCTGACTGTGTGCATCAGTTCCTTGCAGGAAGCTTTCACAGCTGTGCCTGCCAGCCAGCCCTGCAGTGCATGGGGTGAATTCCAGAACAGCCTCAGCGCACGGTGCACAAGAGCAATCGATCTGCTGTTATCCCTCTGCTTCTTTTGAAAACATTTATTCCAGCTTTGCAGACATTAGTTTAGAGGGTAGAAGAAACTGGTTCAGAAGCATTTCATGCAGCCCTGGGGGCTTGGTTTCCTGGGTACCTCCAGAGCAATTCATCAGCTCCATCCACCAGCCCCACTCCAGTGACTTCCAGTAGCAGGCATGAGGATCACTGCAGCGTTCTCCCATACATCAGGTGAGGGATTTGGGCATATGGCAGAGCATTGCGAAGTGGTGAATTTAGTGTGCTGCTGAAGAGGTAGGATTGGGTCAGCCCCATTTCCAGCTGGGTCAGCATTGGAGTACACTTCCCCAAGGACCCAGCTCCCCACTGACCTGCTGCAGTGCGAGCTCTAAAGCCTAATCCTGCCTTCAGCCCAAGTGTTGACTCTGCTTGCTCAGCAAGGCTTCTCAGCCCCCAGGGGCCTCATGCTTTCTTTTTCAAAACAATGTAAACTAAAACCCAGGGAATAACTTCTTCTTGCAATAAAAGCTCCCCAACCCAGGGAGCTGCACAGCCCATCCCGCTGGTGCCTGGCCTCAGGGAACACAGCGAGTGCCCTCGCCAGAGCTGTTCATTTGATGCAAGCAAAGCTGACAAGGTCTCCATGAGCTGATGTCTCACAGGCACTAGGAGTGGTAAAAGCACAGGGGGAAGAGAGGAACCCCACTGGGGATGGCTAAGAAGCTTTAGCAGCCCTTTGTTAGGACCTGGGATGCCCACACTGCTGGGCAGTGCCATCCCCAGCTGCACGCTCCTGCGCTGCTCCTGTGGTCCAACCTCACCACACTTCTGCCTCGACCAGGAGACTTGTTCAATGTCACATCAAAACCAGGCACAGGCTCTGAGTGGCAGGTGCAGTGTTACATTTATTAGCTGCAAAACCTGGATGTGACAGCACCTTTACACTGACGAGGATTGACTTTACTACCCTTTTCTCTCAATTTACCTAATTAGTAACTAAATTAACTCTTTACCTGTCTTTACCTTGAAGCTTTCTGCCTTTTTAGATGCTGAAGAATGGCACCTGTCTGACAGCTTGTATTTCTCTTCCATGCATTGTATCAATCTGTCTTAATTTAAAAAAAAGAAAAAAAGCTTTGTACACCTTACACCATCTTCCCTGAAAGCTTGTGTCAACTTCTGAGTGGAGTAAAGCCTCCCTGGTGCAAACAAAAACATTTAAAGAAGTTCCTGCAAGAAGCCACACATTACTATGAACAAACACAAGTGATGCCGAGAGATATTGGCATTTTCTTGACAAAATTAAAGTTGTGACCATGTGCTTTACAATCCAGAACGTGCTGCATGTCTCCTTACAGCTTTAAAGGAAAGGCTCCTTGTATTTAAGATTTTGGATCAGCAGGTAATGGTCTTGAGTCAACGCCCTCTGAAACAAATTGGGAACTTGTCAACAGAGGTGGGTGGGTGGGCTTGGGATCAGAGCCACATACCCCACAATAACCATCAAGCCTTTCACCTTGGGACCATTTTGGGGAGCAAGACGGACCAAGAACAGGTAACCCTGCCCAAGGAGCACCCCTGCTGCCAGCCCACAGCAGGGCTTGGCCCCAGATCTGCGGAGGAGCAGCCCGGGGTGTGGACAGAGGCTGGGGCGCTGCGGGGCAGGGATGCTGCACCCCACGCAGGAGAGGGACACCTGCCAACGAAAGGAGGATGCTCCGTTCAGAGGGGAATCTCTCTATGGACACATCCCACATGATGGTTCACAGCTGGCTTCCCAGCCCAGGCAAGTGCACTTTAACAGCAGGATGCTGCCATTCAGAGCTGAACTGATTCCAGGGGATTTTTTCATCAAACTCAGTGTTGCTAGGCTGCTAACACAAGGCAGCTCCGCTGCCATCATGTTAGCCAGATGATCTGTCGCTTCAGCTCATTTCAGTGTGAAACACTGTCACTTTTTTTCTCTTTGCATATGCAATACTCACTGGATAGTTCAGGTCTACACATAACATATTTATTCAACAGTAATCGTTTCATTTCTGCAAAGGAAATATGTTCCACTATTCCTGCAGCTGATGGGCTCTGGCATAAGTAGGGAGCCAAGGCTCCAAAAGGAGGGAGAATATGTTTATAGGATGAACCACAGCTGTTTGCAGTATTCTTCTGCCCTAGCAGTTATTTTAATAGGAAGAATTCCTGGAGGGTTATTTGGCTTCTGCACAGCGCATGCTGTGTTCACAGTCTCTAGTTAGGGTATTAGACAAGTGAACCTCCGAAGGCACTCCTGTTCTTGTAAAGCATTTTTAAAAGGGAACAGGGTTAAATTCTGCAGCCTGCTCACACACCAGAAAATACTTGCTCCCATGGTAGCACAAGAAATGGTAGGAAAAATGGTACATTTACATAATCTGCATGATCACAGTGCTCTTCATTAGCATTGCTGAACTGCCCCAACTCCCCCAAGGTACAGAAGAAATTACTGCCCAGCTTAAAGATGCAGAGCAAGGTGAGTAAGACACATTCCTATAGACAGGGTGAATTGTCTGCCTTCCTAGGTATTTACCTGAGGATGAAAAGCTGGAACACCTTGATCCTCTTGATCTCCACGTTGCACTGAGACTTTCATGTGTGCACGCTCACACCGAGCCACAGAGCAGTTTCTGGAGGCAGCAACCCTGGCCAGGCTTTCTGCTGTGGTGCAACAGGGACTGTTTGCTCCATTGCCATACTTCAATAATAAACTGAAGTCTATTAAAAATTCAGCAGTTCCCTGTGAATCTGTTGCTGCTTTGCCTCAGAGATAATCACTGTCAGGACAGTCCTCAGACAATACTGCTCACTAAATGCAAAACAAAACCAAAAAAAAGAAAGGCAAAACAAAAAAAATCCTTGCTGATGGGGAAAGCCCCCTGGGAACTAGAATTATTTTAGCCTGCTTGTCACCCAAGGGTTTCAGAATCCTTCACAAGCATGTCTCATGACATGCCTATAGAGCAGCAGCTGTGTGTTTGCAGAGCAGCAGGTAGCACCAGCACCTGCAGGTAGCACCAGCACCTGGGCTGGTCTCTGTCAGCACCAGCAGAGAGAAGGAAGCCCCCAGACCCCAAGGCTCCTGCAGCAGTCCTGGCTCCAGGCAACACTGGCAGCACGACAGAGCAGTGACAGCCTCATCCCTCAGCGGAGGAGCAGCAGGTCCAGCCCATGCTGGCCTCGGCCATGTCCTTGTCACCCAGCCAGAGCAGGAGCCCCAGCGTGCCCCAGCACATTCTGCTTTCGTTGGAGATGGCAAATGTTTGTGTCCGTCCCTGCAAGCCTCTTGCAAAGCCATTGTGATTTGCTCTATGTAGCTTAATGAGAAAATGAGTAAAACCCTCCCTGGATTTTTACTTTCAATTCAGCTGTCCAAAACACTGAATATTTGAATCTCTTATAACTTAAAATGTTATGCTCTCATTTTTATTTTAAGAGGCACATGTGCTTTTACAGCATAGGAAATCTGTAGCAGTGCTTCCACCAAGAGGGCTTTATTCACAAACTTATGAATATGTATCGCTGACTATTCATTTGGGGAAACACATTTAATAGCCCTCGTTAGAAATGAAATCAAAGAGCAACAGAAGGGCAGCGGCACGACGCAGCACTTGGAATGGCTCAGGTCTCTCCGGGAAGAGGCCCGGCTGCAGCCCCAGCTGAGCCACTGGCCCGGCCTGCCCGAAGGCCCAGCCCCTGGACCAGCTCAGGGCTGCCGGTGGCAAACCATCGGTCCCACCCAGCCACTGCCCCATGAAGTTTGTTACTCGACCTTTCAGTGAGTAATTGGCCATTTTGTAGAGATACTCGCTGTCATTTCTAACAGTTAATATGCTTGGGAAGTCCACTACCATGCACAGACATCAAATGGCTCTTCTTACCCCCAAATTGCCCTGCACCCTCCTGTAAGAGAGCCGAGGTAGACAGATGTGGCTTCTTTTGCCACAGACACTGTCGGGCAGTTCCCAGCTTTAGCACCAGCTATGGCGTGTTCATCTGCAGCCGGAACCCTCAGCTTTACCACTTGCACAGAGAATTTGTGAAAGGTGTAGTTCATTTGCATGACGCAGAGGAAAATCACCTGTTCTCACCCTCTCAGAGACTGCAAACCGTTCCATAACCGTGGCAACAATGGCACCATGTTCTCAGGATGCTTCTCATCTTCCTGGGAAGAAAGAGCACATTGCTAATGGGGTAATCACAATGAGAAAACTCCCCAGACTTTACCCCCCAAAATGAGACTTTTAGATTGCCATGCAACAGAAGAAAACAGGAGCAAACTCAACCAGGCTTGTGATTATAAGCTCTAGATTACAATCTGGATGTTCCTAATGATTTGTGCATGTCATGTTTAAGAAAGCTTAGAGCATCTGACAAGAGTTAAATGATTTACATGCCTTGAAAATCTAAGCTTTTATGATCACACAACATAAAAATCAAGTCTCACCTCACATCCAACCCCATTTCTGGAAAAAGGTTGGATCCAACTTTTGACTGTGCTTCATCTCTCCAGAAGTATCTGCTTGGGTGGATTTGCAAATCACATTCCAGATCAGAGGTTTCAGGTTTGGCACTCTTAAAGCCAGCAACTGCAGAAAAGCATCACTGCCTGTCAGAGCTGACTCGTGCTGCAGACACGCTGTGCAGTAACCACAGTGCTGCAAGGATCAGCACAGAGACTGAGATCCTCCTAGGTATCCAGACGTGTTATTTCTAGCTGAAAGTAATGGAAAATCAGTGGCCTAAATGAAAGTTAAATGCCTTAATACTTCTGTGGAAAAAGATGTAAGAGACCAAGGCTTCAGTAAATAACATCTGCCAAATCGTGTTTCAGAAAGCTGGCCAGAAAAAAAAAAAAAAAAAGAAAGAAAGAAAAACCTAACAAATATCCTGTTACCCACACAGAAAAACAGATAACAGTTTGCTATCACCAAATAATGTTTCTCGCACACAGAAATGCCATCTTTTATCGAGATATTTAGATGAGAACAGAACTTCAGTGTTTTTTGTCAGTGCCATTAGTTTCTCTAGAGAGAATATTAGAGCGCTGCTACCGACAGAACATCAATAACATGGAGATAAATTCTTCTGAAGCATTAATTTTCTCAGCATTGTGAAATCTAACTTATGCATCATCACTATACATCAGTGAGGGGATAATATGAGAAGGCACTCTAAGCACCCTGCTACAAATAAAACAATATAATTCAAGTGGAATTTGTTTTTGAAAGAGGTTTATGTTTTGGTGCCAGACCCTGGGTTTCAACAGCTTCCAATTATAATGCTGCAGCCTGACACACTCATTGCTGCCTCTATCTGCCCGTTTCACAAAAACCTCTGCAATAAACACAAGTTAAAACAAGGGCCAGATCTGCTAGCTCTAAATCAACACAGCCCTATGAATCCAGCAATCCTCTAAGTGCCAGAAAGATAAAGAAAGGAACAAGTGGGAAAACTAAATGCAATTTCATTACTATGGACAGTTATGTGAAAATTCACCTTTAGTTGTGTTGAGTGCAATACCACGTAAAAGACCATTTTCCCTGCATTTCTCAAGCAGGCTTGATCTTTTTCTCATCTGGATGCCCCAGTCATTTGGACTCTGTGAATATTTAATGCCCACGTAGCCGATTCAGTGGCCAGCAGTTCTTCTCTTACTGTTTTCTGCACCCCACAATGAGGATTAAGAGAGAAAAGGACCTCTTGGACCATCAGTCAGCGTTCCTGCGAGCATAGGACGCAGGCTCCCTGTCAGGATAGCACAGCTGGGTTTTGGCTTTCTGACAAGAACTGTGTACGAGATTGTGCCACTCTTTCCTCTTATCTGCTTTCCCTTGTGTTTACTTTATCTAGGCCATTACTAGCACCAGACAAATACTGCAAACATTTATGCATAAGTGTTCCTTAGAATTTTTTTTAATTAGTCTCAACCATTTTCTCACTTCTTTTCTATTCTGTTCCTGTGACTTTATTCTAACAGATCTGTTTACTATCAGAGTATTCACTGAAGCAGCAAATTGCACATGATTATTGGAGATTGTTCACTGAGAGTAAAGTGATAAATTCATTATTAATTCTCATTATTAGTTTCGCTGTCCTGCTGCCTAGGGGCCTCACTGAAACCAGAGCCCCATGCTTTTGGTGCTGTAGGAGCGTATTTTAGGAGGCCTGGGTTTTAATGTCACCATCTGCAAATGAAGAAGAAAAAAAAATTTACACTTTTCCACTCCCCAGGGGTCAACTCTAGGAATGAAATAACATATCCATGCAACACATGAGTGTGTTCAAAAAAGTGCTGCCACTTAAGCTCCTGACATCCTTTGCTAATGGCCAACTGGTTGTTTTTTTTTGTTGTTGTCGTTCTTGTTGTTTGTTTGTTTTCCCCTCTAATACTAATCTTGAAATAAAAATGAAACCTGCTGTCTGCTCCTTTGCTACAACACTTCAGTGGTTTGCTTCTGCACTACAGACAGGCCTGGACTGAAGAAGATGTTGCATCTTTGTACACGTACCTTAAATAGATGCTAGTGTATGTTCAGGTTAGGGTAGCATTTCAAAGCCTAGCAGATTCTGCAATGAAAAGGTGCCACAAGTTTCCTCATTTACTGTGTTAGCTGAGTTGGAAGAATACTTCCTGGACACCTGGAGAATTCACCGTCCCTTCTTCAGTGCTCCTAGAATTACAACACCCAAATGACCACTCCTGATATTTCTGTCAGTAACAAACACCTCTTACAGCTCTACAGATTTAGGAGTGGTCATTTTCTTTCTTTGGTATGTTCTGATCATTGGCTTAGAGGTTTTTTCTGAGCTTCGTCTCCAACTTCCAGATCGGGAACCTGGAAAGCAGATGCTGAAACTGCTGAGGAAAGGGTAGGAAAGGAAAAAAATACTGCAGAGGAACAGCTTCTAACACATCCACAGACCGCAGTTTGTAAAAATGGGATCAATACAATGTATAAGTGCCAAAAAAACACTGTGCACACAAAAGTAAAACAAAAAGGTGCTGTAAAATATGTTGGGTCAGGAAAATGAATGATCTCTGTCAGCTATTTAAAAGCAATCCAGTAATGTGAACAATCAGAAGTGAAGAAAAATCAATACATTTCTCATGGTGCAGAAATGGAAAACAAGCTGGATTTTGCAAGAGCAAAATCCATGCAAACAAAAAAAAAATAGATTATTTTTTCTCGTCAGTAGCATGGTCATTTCTTCAGAGACACAACCACATTTAGAGCGGCACTGTTTAGATGCAATAACACATTTATTGATGTCAGTCAAAATCCCCACTGGGGTCAGTGGTACACAACCAAGTCTTTATACAGTAATTATGAATTATGAATAATTGTTTTATTCCCATCACATTTAATTTAACTGAAAGTCCACTAGGAAGACCTCAAGCAGTGAGAGGGGAGAGCATGCCAAATTCAACCCACTCGCCACTCCTCTGCCTAATTTTCAAAAAGAGCAGGAGAGCAAAGAAGAGAAGTAGTACTACTCCTATTAGAGAAACCAGACAATTAGGGGAATGAATGGAGTGTCCCAAAGCGGCCATTTCTATATTCCAAACCATAGCCAACTTCTAGCTTCAAGTAACAGAGGGAAAATTGCATCAGAATGTGCAAGGAAGACATTTCTGTAGGAATTTAGGTGGCTAGCAGGGGAGCGGGGCAAGAAGGAACTAGACTGAAACTGCAAAAGGGATTTGGTAATACAGGGGGAAAAACTTAAAGGGGAAACGGATTGGTGGACAGAGCAGAATGTAGCAGTCCAATTTTTCATGCTGTCCAGCACTTTACAGAGCTACACAATTTATCTCACAATTTATGTGCACAGAAAGACAGATCTATTAATTTTCCTTTCCAAACTTTCTTCTCCTATTGGACATACAGCTAGAAACATCACAGAAATTAAAGACTACAGAACTGTCTCTAAGACAATGGGAGCTGCCAGACTTTAAGTCAGCTCTGGAACTTCAGCCAAACCTTTGTTTGTCATTATTGGAGGAACACAATTATTCAAAGCTCTTCTCTCTGTATCTTTTGGTTGCAAATGCAGTGGCCAGCACTGCTTTTAATTCCTCTAGGCTTCTGAATGTGAAAGGGTAGCCACCCTTGACAGCAGAATGCAGGAAACCTGTACTTTTAGCAATCTGGGTTATATTTGGCCAGGACACCTAGCCCAGGCAGTGCAGACATCAAGTCCTCTATAACGAGGAGGCAGCCTCTGTACATGACCCATACATCGTTTCCATTTGGTAACCCAGCGCAAGTTTACAGGCACAAAGGCTGGGGATTTCCTGTCCCCCGCAGTTATCCCCGCACAGCACATTTACTCATATGCTGGTTTCCTGCAGCGCTGTTACAGTTGGGTGACCTCGTCTATCCCAGCGCGTTCCAGTTATTGCAATGGACATTCCCACTTACTAACCTAAGTGATACTAACTTCCAGAACAGCTCTGTGCACCGCAGGCCTTCACAACACCCTCCACACATGTGGTAGTGCTGCAGAGACTGCCCTTCCTTTCCTAACAGCTTACACACAAACGCTTGTCTGGAAGGACGCAGAGCCACAGCCCCGCGGTGGGCAGGGATGCAGGGCCCCAGCTGACACAGCACGACTGTGGGCTCCCGGAACCCAAGCTCTTCCCTGAACAGTGTTTAAAGGAGTGACACAGAGGAATGGGTCTCACTGACATAAAAGAGCAACACAGGACGCGACTGACAGCCAGAGGGTATGCAAGCACTACAGGAACCAACCAAGGAACAAAATCACTACTGCCAAAGGGAATAAACTGGTCACTGCTCCTGTTCCCAAGGTCCACTCTTCTGACTTTGCCCACATCACGCTTCCATTTTGCTGAGCTGCTTGTGGGATTAGCCTCCAGATCAAACTCTTCAGAAAAAAAAAAAAATCTAAGTTCACATGAATCTGTCATCAATCTTATTCCAAACTGTGTGGGGGTGAAAAGCTTCATGAAACTACAAAGAGTTCTGCTCAGTTAATTGGCAGACAATGAAAAGAAATGCAAGGGGAGAAGGCTCTGGAAAGCTATTTCAAAAAAAAAAAAAAAAAAAAAAAAAGTGAGATCAGAGCTTTAATCTTCACAGCACCACAGATGTTACACTCAAGAGTCAAGGCAGCTTTGCCATTTTTTTCTACAGCGGTTTAGGACTGTTGGCTGCAGTGGCCAAAGCAACCCCTTCGCCAGCAGACAGCTTCTCCAGGGCTCAGGGTGGCCCCCTTCAACTCCCTGACTTCAGCAAAGGCTCCAGGTCTCACCCAGCCGAGGGTGGGTGAGGCACAGCCCTGCTCCTGGCCCTGCCGCCCTGGTCCCACCACCAGGACAGAGATGCCACCGCACTCCACACCACCCCCCCAATACAAATAGTTTCTTGGTCCCTTCAGGCTAACTCAAACTGAGGCTGCCATCGTAGGAAAACATCAAGGATGGGTTTCCAAAAGCTTCCGGGTGCACAGAGGGGATGCAGGAACACCCCCCACACACAAGCAGCTGTGTCTAGCTGTCCAGGCACTCTGAAAGCCTGCCTTCCCTCCTCCAAAAGAGTCCCAGGGATGTCAGAACCTGCTTGACTCCAGCTGATTCCCAGCCCCAATTCACTCCTGAGGATTTAAGGCACTGCTGATAATACAGATCAAGTCATGAAAGTGCTTTTGCAAACACTGTGCCTCGTCCCCTGCTGCGGCAGGAGAGCA